ACTTGCTTGTAAATTGATCCAACTCTAGGCCTTTCCTATTTGTGGCTCTATTCTACTATGAATAAAGAATGCTGGTTGTTGAGGAATTAATAGAGTAAAAGAGTAACTGTTAAGCATTACAATAATCGTTGCCATAGAAGGTCTGACATTTGGATCTTCTTGGACGCACAACAAGCCAATATGAATGCATCTAATGACTTTATTTCTTGAGTACGACCCTTCCAAAGTAGAATTGATCAATTCGAAGGGTCTTTTATTTCTCCAGAGTTTCCAAGCCTGCAATAATTCATTATATATGATTCTGTGGATGTCATGATTTTGGTACTGAGATCGAAAATAATAGTTAAAAAGTTTAGTTATCACTCACATAGCTTAGAAGGTCCTCTGCATATCCTGATTGATAAACGGTATTATTTTTCTTGTCACTTATAATCTCCAAAACTAAGACACCAAAACTAAACATATCAGACTTCACGAAGAATTGCCCATGCATTACATATTCTGGAGATATGTAATTACTGCAACCCAACATCATTGTTTTGGAAATAATATATATATATATATATATAGAAAAAAGAAACCGCGTCTAATGTGTTTATTTATTAATTTGCATGCAAAAAATTAAGACATGAACCATTGAGAGCAATAAGCACCACAATTTAATTGGAAAAGGAAAAAAAAAAAATGCATGTTTTATATGAGGTTATTGTACTCATTATTTCAAGTTCAATAAGTCTACCTAACCTCTCTAATTTACCCAAAAATTTATCAATCACCCACACAGCAACTTATCTCAATATGGATGTTATTTTTATTTAAAAGGAAACAAAAAAAGAATATGTATAGCCTTAATATAATTCAATTAATTAAGTTATCAATCCATATTACTCGTATAAAGAGAGAACAAATTTACATGAATCTAAATAAGTGATTATTAATCAAACTCACGCACATATAATAATAATAGTAAAAAAAAAAAAGCCTCACATAAATTACTGATTAACAATTAATTCAGTTAAGCTTCACATAAACAATTTACAAAAAGAATAAATTCATTTCTAAATATCAACATTTTTTTTTCTTTTCTTTTGATTAAAATCTCAATGAACTTGTATCAAGATTTCTGATTCAATTTGTTTGATTGAGTTTTCAAAACAAAAACAAAAACAAAAAAAAAAACAAAAATCTAAAAAATTTCAGAAGTTGGTTTGGTAAAAAAACAAAAGACAAAAAACTCATTCTTTTTATATGATTTTCCTTTTTTGGTAAATAATAATTTTTTTAAATGTTTTTTTTTTTGTTTTGTCAAACTAGTTTCTAATTTTGGGAGAAAAACAAATTATAACACAATTGTAAAACTGAACCAAACAAAATTATATATATATATATATATTTGGAGCACGTATTTATTTTTTTTTATTTTTTATTTTTGTGTATTATGATGCTACAATCCTAAGACAAATTCTGAGAGAAAAAAAAAAAGAAAAAAGAAAAAAAAATACAAATTTATTTTCACAACTTGTCCCTATATAGTGATAACAAATTGATAACTTAATTAATTTGAACGTTGTTTTTTTTCTTAAAAGCCTCCACTTTAAGGTGAGTTGCCATGTGAGCTGTTGGTAAATTTTTGTGTAAATTGAGAAGGTTGCCGAGTCTTATTATTTGTCAAAATATCAATTAGATTTCTTAACTTTTCTTGTTCTTGTGGATCTGCACAATGATCAACAAAGAAAAATGTTCTAAGTTAGCAATGAGGAATTAGATGTGAGCATGATATGTACAATTTGGAGTGGAACTAAAAGGGCACACTACAAGAATCTGCACTTTTAGCGACTATTTTCCGCGAGCAATATAAAAGTTGGTAGCTAAAAGTTACCTTTTGGCGACCAACTACAAATTTGGTCACGGAAGGTCACATTTGGCGACCAAAAAATAAGTTGGTCGCGGAAGATAAAAAATAAGTTGGTTGTGGAATTGGCGACCAAAAGTTTGGTCACCAAAAAACTTATTTTTGGCGACAAAAAATATTTTAGTCGGCGTATATTGAGTTTTGGCTACTAAAACAATGTAGTCGCCGAATGGAAAATAAAAAATTATTTTTTATCTTTTGGTAACCAAAATTTTGGTCGCCAAAAAACTTATTTTTAGCTACTAAAAATATTTTAGTCGCCGTATATTGAGTTTCGGCTACTAAAACTAATTAGTCGCTGGATGGAAAATAAAAAATTATTTTTTATCTTTGGCGACCAAATTTGGTCGCCAAAAACTTATTTTTAGCGACTAAAAATAGTTTAGTCGCCATATATTGAGTTTCGGCTACTAAAACTATTTAGTCGCCGAATGGAAAATAAAAAATTATTTTGTATCTTTGGCGACCAAAATTTTGGTCGCCAAAAACTTATTTTCAGTGACCAAAAAAAAATTAGTCGTCGTATATTTATTTTATTTTTTCCGACCAAAAAAAAGTTAGTCGCCAAATTAATATTTTTTGCCGACTAATATTTTAGTCACCGTTAATTAAGCTTTGGCTACAACAAAATTTTAGTCACCAATTATTGACATTTGCTGACCAAAAACTACTTTTGTCGCCAAAGGTTGAAAATTTTAGAGGGAAACCATTTAATATTGTCCCCGCCTGTTCTCTGTTTAAACAAATTAGATTGTTCTCTCGCTCACACAGATTCTCCTTCACCTCCACCTCACTGCTGGTGTCTCTCTCTCTCTTTCTCTCTCCTAAACCCCCACTGCACCAGCTGGCCTCATCTTTCTTCTCCTCCATTGGTACCTCTGCTGGATCCGAAAGATCGTCGAGATCTGAATCAGATTTGAGTCCTCGTCTTGATTCCTGATCTATCTCAACATTTTCTCTACCACACCCCTCGAAACAAGCCAAACCCTAACCTAACCGCTCAATCTTGACCCTCGATCAGAGTCCTCTCACCCCCTCTCGAGCCCCAAATCGCCATGAAATCGACCAAACGCGCTTTCATTGTCGGAGTCGCGCTTGATTGCTACTTCAAACAGATCTCTCAGATGTCTAGTTGGTCCAAACAATAGCTTAGAAAACATGAACCAGCTTAGATTACCCAAAGTTATAGGAATGGGCCAAGTGCTTTGGGTGTTTTTCAAAAGTGTTTTAAAAAATCTTCATCTTCTTCCTCTTCATCATCAGCTAGAGTTTCTTGGTTTTTGAGCGCTTCGAAGATGTCAATGGCGTCGCAAGAGCATCTGGACAAGATGCAGCTCCGCCAGAACTACCGTAACCTCTGGCACGCCGATCTCATGGGCACCATTCAGGTCGACACTCCATGTACTCTCTCTCTCTTTCTCTCTCTCTCACTTCTGTACTCTAATATGGTATTAATTTTGGTTTGTTTTCTTTGATGCAGATTGTTGCCTTGCGTTTTGGTGGTGAGTACTCTGATGATCCATTTCTTAGATCTATTTTTTTTGTTTTTAATTGCTCTTGTTTTGTCAGAGATCTGTAACTGCTTGTGGACTTATTGTCATTACGGTTGACTTGATCTGTGCTTTGAAAATTGAATCTTGCTTTGTTTCTTATTATGTCTTTCTTTTGATGGAATTGATGGAATCTTAAGTACAAGAAAATACACAATTACAGACCACTTTTGTCGACCAAAAAAAAATTCGTAGCTAAAACTTGACATTATTATCGACTAAAAATATTTTTTTGCCAAAAAGTGATTTTTAGCGACCAATTTACTATTTTAGTCGCAAAAAATTTTCATTTGGCGGCAAAAAAAAAATTTGGTCGGCAAAAATCGAAGAGGGAAGACAAAAAAAAATTGGGAATGAAAAACTTTTAGCGACTAAAATATTTTGATCGCAGATAATAACATTTGCCGACCAAAAATCAATTTTGTCACCAAAGGTGTAGATTCCCCTGCATGTTCTCTGTTTAAACCAATCAAATTATTCTCTCTCTCATAAAAATTGGGGGAAAATGAAATGCTGAGGCGCCAAAATGAAATACTCTTTGCAGAAGTCACTCTCCACTCCTCCACCACACTCATCCATTTCAAACCCAAAATCAAACCATTTCAAACCCTAAATCATATCTCACCAATTTCACTCTATCTTCTTCTTCTCTTCTTTTTCTTGGTTGAGTTCTTTAATCGGATCAGAGAATCTAAATACGAGTAATAGTAAACATGGTTTCGGATTCAAAGCTGGTGAATCGGCTCTGGGATGTGCTCTAGACCTCCGACCTCAGCACCACCACCGCCCGATCTATCCAGCGCACCCTGAAGTCGGAGTTCGGCGTCGACTTGTCTTGACCGCAAAGCCTTCATCCGAGACCAAGTTGATTCTTTCCTCGAGACCCGTGTTTAGAGGACCCACAACAACGCTGTCACTGTCGAAGAAAAAGAAGATGAAGAAGCGATTCACGAGAAAGGTTCAGAGACTCTGAAACTTGAAGGCAACAAGTCTGAGTCTGAAGAAGAAGAAGAAAGTGATGGACATAGAAGCAAGAAACGAAGTTTAGGTTTTCCGTTTTTCTAAGCATTTCCATTTCCCCCCTATTTGGTTGTAGAGAAAAGAAATCAAAATATTTACTAATTGAATTTTTCACAGTTTTTGTTGTCATGTTAATATAATATGGGTTTGACAAAATATAGAAACACGAACCAGAAAATGCAAAAGGTTCAGACTTTACCTGACATGCCTCTCTTATACTCTGGAGGACAGATAGGTAGGCTAATGAGGTTGACTGAATAAACCTCTATATTCTCTGTAACAAGGCTCCTTGGGATGTTGCCTACTCTTCTACTTGCAAATTTCTGATATGCCCAACTCAGATTATGAAATAGAGAGAGCAAATGTGATACTTCACCTTATTACCCCTACTCTCAAGTCTTGATTGATTTTTAACGAATTATTTCTGTATTGTGATTGATTTATAACTCCAGCTGAAGCAAATGTGATACTTCACCTTATTACCCCTACTCTCTTTGTTGTGCGGGCTGTAAATTTTTTTAGTAAATTGTTCTTGACACCAATTGCTGCATACGAAATTCATTTGCTGATTATCTAGTTTATTGTTCTACGCAGGTACTTCCTAAATGTCATTTTCAATATTCTGAACAAGAAAGTTTATAATTATTTTCCATATCCATAGTAAGTTACCTTTGCTGAATGTGTTAGGGCCTTATAAATAGTGAAGTTAGATTGTGTTATTAAGCTCTCTTTGCAGCTCTCAAACGTTGTGATAATTAAAAGATCATTTTTCCCCTCTTGCAGCTTTGTCTCAGTTATACATCTCGCAGTTGGTGCGGTCTATTGTCTTGTCAGTTAGGCTGTTAGTCTGCCAAAATGAGCAGTGAGTTTCATCTTCTGCATTTGTTATTAGTTCTTCATAGTTCTGCATTTGAAGATGATACTTCTAATGTTTCCTAGTGGATGAATTATCTTTTGAGTGGAATTAGTTGATAACAATGATGCCCCCTTGTGAACACATGGTGGAATGCTATGCCTGTTACACAAGTTATCACTTGAAACTTTATGATTTGATGTCCTTTAATTGATTCTGCTGTTTGTGCTCTAAATTGATATAATGCTTGACTAATGGGATGTGGAGTGGTTCAACATAGTTCAATGCTACGCAGATAAAAGTTAATTTGTTACCCAGATGTGATATTTTTTTTTTTTGTGTGTGTACATGTGTAATGATTTATAATTGCTTAATCCACTCTTACATTAAGGAAAAGAAAAAAACTATCCATGTTTAAATGCCTAAGTCGATTAATTTTCATTCATTCTATTAATATAAAAAAGGTCAGGGCATAGTCTTTGGCATCATAGAAATTTGTTCCTTATTTTTTTTCTAATGGAGTTGAGTGCTGGGGTAGAGTTGGCAACTACAGCTGTGCCACACCTTTTTCTGCCTTTAGCTTGTGCTACCAATGTGGCCAAGGTTCAACCCTTCTCTATCTCTCATTTTCTTTCCATTTTATAAATTCTGGCTAATCTATGTGATGAATTTGCTTTATTGCTTTACTTTCTTACTGTTTCACTTGCAAAATGTTGGTGCTGTCACATCAACCTCGACTCGCACTCCAATATACAAAGCCTTTGCCAAAGGTGAAAACATTGGGGATGTTACTGCGAAGGGAGAATGTGTTGGCAATGTTGCCGATCTGGTATGCTTCTCCAACTTCCATTACAATTTCCAAAAGCTTGTGTTTGCACCGGGCCAATTGAGAACATATTTTGATGGCTACTATAGTGACTATTGCCACATAGTTAAATTGATCTGCATATTTTGTACTTTGTTTCTAGTCCTAATATTATTTGGAGAGCAGAGAGGCATTACTGAAGGAGATGGGTTTCGTTACTCTGTATAGTTAATCGAGTGCATCAAAAATATAGTCAATCCCATTAATTTCCCCTTGGCATTTTACTAGACATTTTTTTAGTGACACAAGCAAATCAGAGTAAGGCATTACACTGTATTTTTTATTTATTTATATATATACATATTACTAAGTGGAACATATGATATACGTAGAGACATCATGTTATGAGAAGCACTTGCACTCGACTCGACTGCAATAGACAAAAGTTGTTCTTTTGCTATCCAACAAAAATGGCAATTAGATATTGGTCAGTACTAGTAGTCTTGGAAGTTGACCTTCTCATTATTATGATATTGGACATGTGCTAAGACTGATTGTGGCTTTATGCTTCTTGATTGTCACTATGAATCTCTTTATAACCTTTAAAACGGCTTCATTTGGAATTGTAAATGAAGGGAAACAAATTTGAGTCTATCTAGTCTTATTTTAAATTAAAAATATAAAAAGGTATTCAAATTGATGTGTCAGTATGATCAACTTCGTCTTTTATAATCTGGAATTAAATGCTTAATTTTCAACTTCTTGGTTGAGTTCTGTAATACAAGTGCTTGATGTCTACTATGCGTTTCCCAGTCAAACTTTTGGGACTAGTTAATTTGAGCTTTTTAGAATTGTTCCCTTAGAAGATGAATTTAAGATCCTACATATTGTTATAACTCTTCATAAATTATTTTCTCTCTCTCACGTGCGTGTGCATGCCGTGGTGTGGTGATGAAAGGAGACATCCTGGAAGATCCAGCAAAGGAGCCAAACAAGGATATGTACATGATGACTATAGAGTACATATGTGTGTTTATATAGTTTTATATGTTTATCTAAGACATCTTCGAAGAACATTAATCATCATTGGTTTTGTTGTGTTTTCTTAAACAAGGATTAATTGTCAATCTGTTGTTCATGTTTGCTTCGTCTTTGTATTCTGGATTCAATTTATGTGCAGAATGAGTGACCCAACAAGGGATTGGATTGGCCTAGTTTTAAGGTTTCCTTACAGTGGTTAATGAAATAGTGTTACAATGTGAAGAAAAAGAAAGCGTTACATTGGAGGTACCCCTGTTTCATGGTTGAAATAGTGTTACATTAATGAAAGTGTTCTATTTCAAGGTTTGTTGGCAGGTGCATCTTAGAAATAGTGTTACAGTGGTTAATGAAATAGTGTTACATTAATGAAAATTGTGAATTCAATTTTTGGATATGTTATTTTGTGAGTAATAGTGATTGGATATTAAATTGAATGGGAAAGTGAATTAATGTTATATTTGCTATTTGAATGGGAGTTATTATTTCATATTAGTGCTATTACCGGTGTTCTTTTAGTTTAATCATATAAAATTAGCACAATTTTTCAAAAAAAAAAAAAAAGAGGCGTTTTAAAACGCCACTATAACGCTTGAAATTTTTAAAATTAAAAAACCTATGGCGGCATTTTTAAAAACGCCGTCTATACTAATATAGCGACGTTTTTAAACGCCATAAGCCTATAGCTACGGCCGCGTTGTCGGCGTTTCGTATTAAACGTCACAAAAAGAATTAATGGCATTTTTAGTACTTATAGCGGCGTTTTTTAAATGTCGCTAAAAACTTAATTTCCAGCAGTGTGCTGACTAAATAAAGTAGTAGGTGTATCACCAAGCACATTTGGCGATTAAATAATTAGTCGTTAAAATTATTAATTTTGGCAACCAAAGGATTTGGTCGCGAATAGGTTTATTGCTGATTAAAGTTTTAGTTGCGCAAACATTTCTTATGCCGACAAACAGGTTTGGTCGTGGAATGTGACAATTGGCGACCAAACAATTTGGTAGTGGAATGTCACAATTGGTGACCAAAATTTTTGGTCGTAGAATGTCGCAATTGGCGACCAAACTTTTTGGTCGTTAAATGTGATAATTGGCGACCAAAGTATTTTAGAGACAAAATGGATTGTCGCAATAATGACATGTTTAGTGACCAAAAATTTAGTCGGCAAATCCAACTTTTCCCGACCAACTAAAATTTTGGTCGCGAATTACTTTTGCCGACCCTCAATTGGCGACCAAAGTAGCGACCAAAAAAATTGGTCGTGGATAACTTTTACCGACTAAAAATGAGCTTTTAGCGATCAATTTTTTGGTCGACAAATGTGTTATTTCTTGCAGTGTTTATATGATTTTTTGACCTTTAACTTTTTAATTATTTATTGGCTTTTGGTTAAAATCTTTTTTCCCCAAACACACCCCAAGTGACGAAGCAAAAAACGTTCCCAATTTTTTTTCCCTAAGGCTGGTAAGAGCCCAATCAAAATATTCATCAGATTATTTACTATTGTTACATTTTTTTTCTTATCATTTAGCAAGAAAAAACACATCTGGCATGAAGTACAGTTTATTAGATTTTTTTAGTAATATTTTTTTGTCTTCTTTGCGAAGATTTAAAAAAATTTAATTTTAAGTTCTACTATATTAAAATATTCTATAAATTAAAAAATTAAAAACAAATCACTAAAAATAAAATAAAATAAAATAAAATAAAATAAAATAAAATAAAATAAAATAAAATAAAATAAAATAAAATAAAATAAAATAAAATAAAATAAAATAAAATAAAATAAAATAAAATAAAATAAAATAAAATAAAATAAAATAAAATAAAATAAAATAAAATAAAATAAAATAAAATAAAATAAAATAAAATAAAATAAAATAAAATAAAATAAAATAAAATAAAATAAAATAAAATAAAATAAAATAAAATAAAATAAAATAAAATAAAATAAAATAAAATAAAATAAAATAAAATAAAATAAAATAAAATAAAATAAAATAAAATAAAATAAAATAAAATAAAATAAAATAAAATAAAATAAAATAAAATAAAATAAAATAAAATAAAATAAAATAAAATAAAATAAAATAAAATAAAATAAAATAAAATAAAATAAAATAAAATAAAATAAAATAAAATAAAATAAAATAAAATAAAATAAAATAAAATAAAATAAAATAAAATAAAATAAAATAAAATAAAATAAAATAAAATAAAATAAAATAAAATAAAATAAAATAAAATAAAATAAAATAAAATAAAATAAAATAAAATAAAATAAAATAAAATAAAATAAAATAAAATAAAATAAAATAAAATAAAATAAAATAAAATAAAATAAAATAAAATAAAATAAAATAAAATAAAATAAAATAAAATAAAATAAAATAAAATAAAATAAAATAAAATAAAATAAAATAAAATAAAATAAAATAAAATAAAATAAAATAAAATAAAATAAAATAAAATAAAATAAAATAAAATAAAATAAAATAAAATAAAATAAAATAAAATAAAATAAAATAAAATAAAATAAAATAAAATAAAATAAAATAAAATAAAATAAAATAAAATAAAATAAAATAAAATAAATATTTTTATTTTTTATTTTTTATTGAAGTGTCACAATTTTTACTTTTCATATTGTTCTACACTAAACAAAGTTGGAAAAAAAAAATATTCATACAAATTTTTGTAATTGTTACCAAAATAATTCAATTCCTAATGTGGAAAGAATATGAGAAAATATAAAAAAAAAAGAGTAAGAAATAGAAAAAATAATCGCAAACTAATACTCATTTGCATAAACTCAATGCATAGATCACTTATATTTTCATGATTTTATAATTATTTTTTTATTTCTCTTTTTTTTTTTTTATAATTT